CCTCTCTGAGCTCGTTAGCAGCGAAGCGCCAACTCACTGAACATCATCTCCAGCCTCATCAGACATCCCACGAAGTTGTCGAAGTCGATGGTCATGTCGGGGTCGGCGTATCGGGCCACCAGCAGCTGGTAGATGTTGTTATTGAGAGTGAAACCTGCAGGAAGATGGTAGCTGTTAGCGGCTATCAGACCTAACAGACTTGATCATCATTACTGGTAAATAATGGTCACTGAAGTTCGTCAGTGTAAGCTTTCTATTTACTCTTGCAGACGCCATCGTGTAGCTGCAGCTCGATTGGTCGTGATGTCAGTTAAAGGTGCTCTGACAGACGACCAAATCGCTGCCACCTACGGTGTAATGCAGCGAGCTCAAACACACAAACTAGTGCCGAGCTGGCTCTGCCGCTGTCTTCGATGATGAATTGTGAGAACTCGGCGTTTAGAGTTTAGTTTAAATGGTTCTCAGATCATATGAAAGCAACACAAATCAATAGTTCTATTTAAACCGATCAAACATCACGAAACACCAGACTCTGGATGATAAGGAGCAGTCAGACACTGATCTGGGTTCAGTAAGCGAGCACATCAGAGTCAGCTGAACTCGCTCCAGATCCTGAAACTTTAACCCTGAGGTGACCTTCATGCTGCCAGCAGAGATGAAACGTACCGTCTCCATCAGCTCGCTGCCCGTAAATCCACAGCAGCAGGAGGAGGAGGAAAAACACAAGTTAGACAGAGACAGAAAGACTGCAGGAGGAGCAGGAGAAGAAGAGGAGATGTTAGTGAGCAGGAGACAAAGTCTGCAGGCTTTGTTTTCATTTGTTTAGCAGCAACAGGAAAGATGAGGCGTCTTCCTCACCCCGGCCACAGAGGAGGAAGAGGAGTGTTCTGTTTAAAGCGTGAGTCAGCGGGGAATCACCGTGACTCACACTTTAAACCACAAACTGCAGCAGCTCCACCTCTGAGGGTGAAGACAAGTAAAGCATCGCAACGCCAGAGCTGAGCGCGTCGCCACAACACAACTCACAGTCCGCACACAAACAGCCCACAGCATCTGTGACATCACGGAGGACGTCCCCACGGAGGCGTGTCCCGAGCTCGGCTGAAACGCGTCACCGTGTCATCCTGTTAAATGAAGTCAGGTGGTTTTATTATGTGGCCCTTCCTGTTCCTTAGCATAAACTCGCCAGTGGAAAGAAACTGGTGGGGAGCCAAAGACGCCTGAGGCCCCGCCCCAAACAGAATCGCAAACACGTTTAATGAGCAACAGACAGGAAGTGGTCGACAGCTGCTGGTGAGCCAATCACAGCACGAAACAAGACGAGACGCCAGCAAAGACCCGGGTCAGGTCGACGACTCTAAGCTCGTCGCATTAAACGAACGCTTCGTTTGTTCCTGCAGAAGAAGAACAGACTGACCTGCGTCTTTGAAGGCCACTCTCATCTCAGGTGTGCACATCGTCCCCGAGTTATCAGAGTCGTTCTTCTTGTAGATGGACTGCACGCACACGCACGCACACGCACACGCACGCACACACACACACACACAGGTAGTTACATATAAAATTCGTCCTGTCAGTACAACATTCGGGATTAGAGGTCAAAGGTCACGTCTCACCAGGTATCTCTGCACCTTCTTCCACAGCGTGGCAAACTCCCCGAGGCCGAGCTTCCCGTTGCCGCTGTCCTGCTGCAGGTTAAGGATCACTGACAAAAACATCCAAGTACTCTCATGTGACGCCGTTGCTGATACAGCTGCACTGGCTGGTTCTGACCTTTAAAGCTCTTCAAGGACAAGCACCAGCCTACATCATTGAACCTTTACAGCCCCGTCCCTAGTAGGTCCCTGAGGCCTTTGATCAGGGCCTACTTGTTATTCAGCACACAAGGCTGTGAACCAAGACAGAGCTTTGGTTCCTGGTCATGTCGGGATGGTAGCTGTTAAAGGTTGGAGAGCGTGCTTTTTCTTTTTGTGCCCCGTTTCTGTGGAACAACCTCCCTCAAGATGTTAGGCAGGCATGCTCTGTGGAGGCTTTTAAAACTAAGCTGACGACACATTTGTTCACCTTATCTTACAAGTCTTAATTCTATGGCTTTGAGTTTTTAAATTTTTACTGTTTTTAACTTGTAGTGCGTCTTTTACCTGTATTGCTATGTATCGCTTTTATTATTATTTTTTATCTTTTTAGTTTTAAATAGTTGTACAGCACTTTGTTTGAAAGCGCTTTATAAATAAAGTTATTATTATTATTATTGGTCACTGTGGACTCTCTTCCTCAGAACTTAAGATCTGGACACTCAGTGATCACTTTAAAAAACAACTAAAAACATCTTTTTGTGTCTGTTTTTGTTTTATACCTTGTGAAGAACTTTGATCTTTTTCTCTAGAAACGTGCTATATTAATAAAATTTTACTTACTTACTGACAGGTGAGTGACATCATTAACCCTGCTTTAACGCCTGCACTCTGGCATCATTTCCTGTTTCTCTAACACCTGCACTTCCTGCTGCCAGGTGACCCTAGCTGTCTGTAAAGGATACGTCCATCAGGTTCACCATCACCCTGCATGTCTCCATGCCGAAGCCGTCAGTTTTGATGTCAGTTCCTGTTGAAAGAGAAAACGGGAAGTGAAACCTGCGGCGCTCTGTGTTCAGGTAAAAGGCGTCGAATCTTCAGCTCACGTTTGGAGACGATTTTGTTCATGATGGTCCTGAGCTCCACTGCAGAGATCTCCATGTCCTGAAACACAAACACGAGCAGCCAATCAGGCGTCTGTGGGCAGCGCACCTGCACGCTGCCACGCAGCAGGTGTGGGAGACTTCCTGTTAGGCCGTTTACGCACGTGATGAGGATGAACTTACACTTCCGGCGAGT